ACTGACTATAATATCCTATCAAAAAATTAGGGCATACATAACAAAAGTATTGAAAGAAAATACTGAATGATGGTTAAGAAATCAATACAGGACCATGTAGTTACCAATTTGCATCATCTCTAGAAATTTCATCGAAATCTAACAAACGTTAATACTCCATCTACTTAGTATTATCTCTCTTGATTTTTTTGTCTTAGTTTTTTGAGATTCCGGTCAGAACAATACTCTTTTGAATTCATTTTGTACCTTTATTTATTGTAAAGTTGTATGCAATTTTTTTGTGATTACATGGCGCTTATTATTAAACATTAGCATAAAGTGAATTAAATAAACTTAACCGAAGCATTACCAAAGGATAATTTTTTTTTCATGAATCAGACGGCCTGAGAGTCAAAATTATTATTAGTACTAGTTCCTGTGATCAGAATTGAATAAAACTACCAATGATACTATTTTTCAATATTTACTAACGAGTCAATGTTAAAAACAAAATAAAACTAATGAAATGATGCAGTATTAGACATGGGTGCCTAATACTAGTCACAAGCGGATCCAAAATTTAATTTTGGGTGAGGCTTCAGCCCGAAAGTTTGTTTTTTTTCATAAAATAACGATAATTACTTTGGAAAAACAGAAAGAAACTAACTACCTATATGAAATGGTGTTTAAGTGATTTCTTAAGTACTTTTAAATGTAATTACACGAACAATAATACTTTAAGAGGTATTTTTAAATTTTTTTTTCCATAAATATATATTTTATATATACCATTTTGGGGGGGGAGGAGAGGGATGCTTCAGCCCGAAAGCCCTCTCCCTCCCACCTAGATCCGTCCGTGCTATAGACAGATACAGAGTCAAATTTCTTCTAGTCCAAATACTTATAACCGAGTGGAAATTTTTGATTTTTTTTTTCTAACTTCTCGCATGAACATAAAGCGTCCCTTCCTTTCGGTTATGGAGCAAAAAGAGTTTTCGATGTTTCTCCAAAAACTAGGCTAAATTATTTCTAGTAGTATTCTTGAATGTTTTCCACTTCTGTTCTAAACGCTCACTTATGGTTCATTAGGACTTTTAAGAATGACCGGCCTGGCTAAATCTTGTATTATTTTTTTTGTCTGGAGTAACAATATAAAATAACGTTTTAACTATGCATCGTATTACACGTAACCTTCATTCCTGGCTTGGACGTTGTCCTGTAATCCTTACATAACACAAGGACTTCAAAGTAGATGACTTTGCTGAATCATCTGTTGCCGGGTACCACCCTCCCGGGAAAAAAACCTCCTCCCGTTCGGTAACTCCTTTTTTTCTCGTTATAGTTTGGTAAATTGATAATCTCGGAGTTGAAAAGCCGCACCACGGCTGCCCTTTAGGAGTGTCACCTGATTGACAGGTGTGTCATCCTAGAGGGATCGCTCCTCAGTCCTTGTCTTCCGTTATCATTCCGATATCCTACCGCTACGTAAATGTTTTTCTTTTTTCTTTGTTATCCTTACTTCATTTTATTATTTACCATTTCTCCAAGTCTCAGACGCTTCGCTCCACTTTTACGTTTTCCGGTCGTTATGAATTCATCGTAGATTTCCCCGGATTTCACGAATAATATCTGTACTATATAGAATAGTTGTTGTCGGAGGCGGCACCTTTGAGATCGGATTCCTGGGATATATTTGGAGGTTTTCATATCTGCGTTGTTAATTTCATTTTTCTTTTGAAGTACGACTTCTTTCAGCGCGGCCAAGGAGCTACTGATTGGATGACGTAGGCATAACGAATGCGTAACAAGAATAACGTACAGCTGATCGAAGGCTGCGTGTATGAAATAATATTAATGCTCTGTTTTTTGGCAATGATAACCTCTAAATATACAACAATTGATTCATTTGTTGAATTTACATGTTAACGTTTCGGGAAATTTACCCCCATCTTCAGAACTTACAATCGCATGTATTCTTATCGATTCATGGCTAAAAAAGAGTTAATTAAAAAATAATACATGTTAGAGTTGCGTTGTTACATTAATTTTGTAATTAACTTAAATCTGATGTCCTTGTGTGTCATTTAAAACATGACAAAGTAGCACATCAGATTTAAGGTAATTACAAAATTAATGTAACAACCCAACTTTAACATGTATTGTAACATGCATTATTTTTTTATTAACTCCTTTTTGGCCATGAATCGATAAGAGTACATGGGATTGTAAGTTTTGAAGATGGGAGTAAATTTCTGGAAACGTTGACATGTAAATTCAACAAATAAATCAACTGTTGTATATTTGGAAGTTATCATTGCCAAAAAACAGAGAATATCATACAGCTTTCCAACAAAAAGAAGAAATAGAAGAATATTAATGGTTTATTTTACATTACTCAAAATAATATGGATGTATTTGATTATTTATATTTCGAACGTAGTAAAGATAGAAAAGATAATCAATATTTAGTGTAAACGCACCAGCGATGGATATAGCTAAGGCAATTTTTGTCTTTTTTGGTTTATGCCGCCGTTGTCATTATAGTTATAAACTTCTTCGTTAGACATTTAGAGTCTCTAGGATCTCCTTTTGCTGTTTAACACTTATAAATCGAAAAAAAATATTCAGTCATGCAGGTATAATATCCATTTAAGAAATATAGGTGTTTGAACTAGTTATATATATAATATATATTATATATAATATAACTGTTTGATTCACACACCGAAATTCAATCGGTACTAATAGACATACCTCAGAAAAATTCTAAAATCTTTATTTAACTATAAAGATAACTTGAAAAATAAGATCAGATAAATGTTGAACTTATTCTTGCCCGATACCGTTAGTTGGAAGGTATGAAACACACTGATCTCAACAGTACTGTAAAACAATAATGATTATGGCATCTTAAAATTTTCTTTTGAAAACTTTGTTCGTATAGTTGTCAATAGATGGCATTGTTCTTCAATCTAGAAAAAACTGGAACCTTTAAATCAACAAGGAAGCTTATTATTTACATTTTAAGTTCAACCTTGTCCATCACTCGCCCCCCTGTCCATAACTGGTGCGTTCACCCTATGGTTTGGGCGTGAGATATAAGAGAAAATTAGAGGAAAACTGTCCGTCACATTTTTTTATTAATCTACATATATTTATTCAAATTTATAAAAAATAAATTAAAGTAATAAACGGACTAAATACATCAATTTAACATTACTTTTTTCACCATTAAATCGGTAACTCGTAAATTACAACTCAATTAATAGTAATTAACAACATTCTTTTCAACCCATTCATATCTCAAAAGACATGACACATAAAAATTGAAAACTTTATACGAGAGGATTTCGATGTTTTGGTGGACCCGAAAGCGCAACTCCGCAAATCTACTTAGGTCTTATTAAATTTATGTAAATGTTCCTTTTATAATTAATTAAAATTTTAGGTAGTTAATCTAGTATATGTTAAAGCTGTAGTAAACGTCGAGCAGTTTCTTGTCGTTTCATTCTTATATGAGGATTATCAGTTGAATACACTTTAAAAAAGGAATAATTTTTCTCTAATATCTACTGTTATAGTTCATAAGTCTCAAGCTGATAAGTTTGACCATTTATTCAAAACAAAAATAATCAATAGGTTTTATATGTGGTGTTGACATGACTTACCAATTTCTATAAATTATTTATTTTTACTGTAACCAATCGCAAAAAAATGTTCATGAAAGAAAGACACCAGTCGGAATAATTGATTAGCAAACTAATTACTATAAACTTTCTATCTCTGGACTGATATCGCAATTTTATGTCTGGTCCCTTGCGTAAGTCTGTTAAGCTAACATTGTTAGTAAAACAGAACAAACTGCAAATTTCTTGTAGTTTTTCTTAAAATTAAGTTATAGTTGGAAACATTCCAACCTCACAACCTTATATCTCCAAAACTTCAAAATGTTAAAAATTAAAAATCTTTCAACGTTTCGCTAAAATGCGATGGGATGTCATGGAGTAATCTAATCTTTGTTTTTATTTTCATTTCTGTCATGATGGTTCCTGGCAGGTTTTTGAATTAACATTGACTGACTTTTAATTTCTACTAGCATTTTAATGATATAAAGCTGTTTGGTTGGAATTTTTTCCAATTATAACCTATTATTTATGCTCTGTCTCTTAGTACGTTTTTATTTTCTTAACATGTTTTTGTTCAACCGGATCATTGTTTGGAGACTGGTACCATTATTTATTTATTTATTTTAGACTTTAGCCCTGCGAGGATCTCATTTATTTGCAACATACCTTATGCTTATACAGTAATGTATATTGCATGCCTGCACTATGTAAAATGGTCTTATCCTTGGATCCACTAGCGGATCCAGGATTTAATTTTTGGGGAGAGGAGACTTCAGCTTGAAAGCTTTTTTTTCATATATACAACGATAATTAATTTGAAAAAAAAAGGAGAGAAATGAACTATCTATATGAAATAGTGTGATTCTTGAAGTTCTATTAATTGTAATCACATGAACAATAATACTTTAAGAGATAGTTTTTAATATTTTTTTTCTATAAAACATAATTTTATAGGTTATAATTTACAATTTTGGGAGGGTTGAAGGGGTTGCTTATTTTTTTATGTGTATAGTTTTTTTGTGTTCTTCTTATATATAATAACCTATATTTCTTTTTTTTCCCTGTACCACCACAAACCATGAAGGTTCTTGGGTTCAGTGCTATTTAATGAATAGCTTTTAATTAATTATTTAATTGAGGTTACCTATTTTATGATGGAGGATATCTTGACACCACGGTCGTCCCAGGGTCAATGAAACAGAATAGATAATTCTTCTGCCATGAACCGGGATTTGAACCTGAGACCTTGAGCATTGGAAATTCAGTGCCCCACCACTGAGCTAGCCTACTAATAAACTGTAACAAAATAATTATTGCCGGTAAATTCTGTTAAACTACATTCCATCTACCGATTCTGTTTCCATAGCCTTGTCAGATCTCAGATCTGCTCTGAAGATGTCAGTTTCCAAGAAACTACAATCGGCAGCCGGGAGGTCCGATGGCGAAGAAGCGTGGCTCGATTACGGACGTAAACAAAGAAGGATCGGGACCCGGAGCGACGGAACGCTGACGACAAAGGGAACGAACGGACCTGGAATGAGAGCGACACGTAGCAAAGAGTGGCCCAGTTATGGATCACACGCGCGGGGCGGACAAAGATCTCTGTTGGCCATCACGTATGTCTTCCCCTTGTACTCGGAAAATCTAGCTATCGTTAGCGGATGAAAGCGGCGTCGTTTCACCGCTAATTGCAATCCTTCTTTAATTGCACTTGCGATTATTCAATGCCTTCTGCTTTTTCGCAAACTAAGTTTTGAGTTTAAACCAAGTTTAAAACAAAATGTTTCTACACTAAAAATAATGCTGTAGTATAGATCCATTTTCAGCTCTAAGGAGCGATTAGTTTTGTTGAATGATGTATCAGGCGAAAGAGAATTTCATGAAGAAGTGACGAATCTCAATTCCTTAAATTCCGTCACCAACTTTAATACAACTTTGAGAAAAATGGGAGATTTGAAACTTGGTTTCAGAGTCACAGAATCGAAAAGAGATAAATTTTGTGTTAAAGATTTTGATACATTCATCTAGTCCCGTTTTGGTTGTGGAAGAAAGTCTACGTGCTTGTCTATGTCCCTATGCGCTATGGTTACCATGAATAATAATAATAATAATTCTTTATTTATTCTGGGACGAGTCCGTTTAGAATAATACAGAAAGACAATAATGTGGGCTAAGCAGCCTTAGAGATACATAAACAAAATATAGAGTAATTAAATAGTCAAAATAAATAAAAATTATAAGTTACTTACTAATTTAGATCAGTTAATAATAACAAATATAAAATTGAAAATAAACATAATATAAAAATAATGAAGAACGATCTAATAATTATATACATATTTACAGTAGTAATTATTTACAATTTTATGGAGACTGGATGGATAAGAAATTATTGAACAGGCGGGATTTAAAGGAAGGAAGGGTTTTGGATTGACGGATGTGAGAAGGGATGGATTTCCAAAGAGATGAGGATTGGGTAATGAACGATCTGTCGAAAGCAGCGGTTCGGTGGGTCCTTATGTATGAATTAGAAGACCGGGAACGAGTATTGCGAGAACGAACGGAGGATTTGATTGAAGGAGCTCGGAGATGCATGAAGGATGGTGGGATTTATTTATGGATGTATTTCTTATCACATGCTTAGGTTTTGAAATTAAAATATTGCTATTTATGATAGTCTTCGATGAAACAACAATCTACTGAAAATTTAAGTAGATGAAAATATATGTATGTTCCATTGGGCACTTCTTATACATACAGAAAGAAAGTTGTTGATACAAAAAAATCCAGATATGGTTTCAATTCTCTGAGTAATGTTAATTTCTCCGGCGGGGGATTAATGGTAGAATTAAAAGTTTCCACGGCACCGGGATCCGAACTCATAATCTTCAGTTTTTCAGATTGTCGAGCTGCTTGACCATATATTAAGGAAATTTAGCGGTTTTCACCTTCCTTACATTTTCGGCTATAGGGGTATTTTCCGAACCAGGGAAGAGGGCAGGGTGTTAACTTCAGAGGCTTTTAAACTCCGGGTTTAACCCCCCGCATTAACCAGGACTCGAATTCGTAATGTTAGGTTTATTAGTTTGTCGGGCAAAGCATATTTCGCATGCGCCTTAGACCACTTGATCTCCCACTATTGTGATTCATTGATACCCATTCACACAGAGGTCTATGGCATTGCTCTTCCCAAGAAATTTAATTGCTTTCCTCTTCTTAAAAAAAAGTGTTAGCGAAGAAAAAAATTGCAGATCATATACAATTTCTCTTGATAAATCTTCCATGTTTCCACCCAGGTTCTCTATTTAAAAAAGTTCTTCCAAATCAAACCCCTCAAAAATATGAACCTTGCGTTAATCCATAACCTTATTAACATGTATCCCCTTTATAATTCATAATAATGCATTCCCATCAAAAACTTTGCGCAAATCGCCTATAGTGATGGTTCAAATATAAATGCCTGGTTCATTTCAACTCATATAAATATATATGGACCAATAATAAGGCTAAAGACCTCTTCTTGAATCGAGCAAGTGCTCGTTGCTATTAATTAACTTTTTTTTTTAATATTTATAACTATTGACTTAAAACTTAACAATTTCAGTTGGAGTTTTCACAAAAGTGAAGCAGGCCCGGAACGGTGGGGTTGCGAACGGATGCTAACGGTGCTCGCACTGTGAGGTAGGTTATTTGATTAGTGTCTCGGGGGTGTGCAATGGAGCGTCATCGCTCGCTGCCGTTCGTTGAGCAAATGGCATCTAGTTCTAGCACCGTTTCGGCCGTTGATTCAGTTGATTCGCCATTCGAATAATAGATAGTGGTCAGACTATCCACTTGGTATGCATATTTCAAACATGATATATATATTAGGTCGTCCCATAAGTAATAATAATAATAATAATACCTTATTTATTCTTGGACGAGTCCCTTTAGAATAATAAAGGACAGAAATGTGGGCTAAGGAGCCTCAGCGATACATTAACAAAACTACACAGCAAAAAAATTATAAAGGAAGGAGATGGTTCAGGGTGGTGGTCATAAATAGGCTAAATAGTGGTAAAACTGTTTTATTAAAAGCCGATGTTTCGACCCGACTTTGTAGGTCTTCTTCAGGGAGGTGTGTTCACTATTTAGCCTTTTTATGACCGCCACCCCTGACCATCTCCTTCCTTTATAATGCAACGGTCTACTATTAAATATTCAATAAAAAAATTATAAGTTACTTTCTAACTTAAAACAGTTAATAATAAAAAAATGAAAATAAAGTAAAAATAATGAAGATTAATATACATATTTACATAAATAATTTAATACATAAGTAAAAATAATTTATATTCATATTTACTGTGGTATGTATTTACGATTTTAGGGGGACTGGATGGATAAGAGATGATTGAACAGGCGGTTTTTAAAGGTAGGAAGGGTATTGGATTGACGGATGTGGGAAGGGGTGGTGTTCCATAGAGATAGAGGTCAGATAATGAATGATCTGTCGAAAGCAGTGGCTCATTGGGCTCTTATGTATAAATCAGACGAGCGGGAACGAACAGAGGATTTGAACTGGACGAACTCGGAGATATATGAAGGTCAGGGTAATTGGATGACTTGAAAAAGGAAGGATGCCAGGAAATATTTACAACGGTAGGAAAGATAAAGCCGTGTCAGTAGTGTAAGGATAAAGTAATGTCAGTTTTTTATTTTTTTATTTATTGAGTATTACAACAATCTGTCACATGGACACTAGTTATAGTGAGGTAGGATAACATCCACACTATATGTACAAAAAATATAAAATAAATAGAAGCAAAATAACAATAAATAATAATCAAAAAGTATATACAATAAATAAAATAAAATAACCTAAAAATAAGAAAATTAAAACTAACCAAAAAACACATGCATACCTATATACAATCAGGCGAGGGAAACTCCAAGAGAACCCTGCGCTACTCCTCAACCACCTCACTGTTACTAAAGCCAGCGGAGATTGATCGAGAGCGGGATCAGTATTTAAAAATCAGTTTATGTTGACATTACCTTCTTTACAATTGAATTGTGTTTATTATTGGGTCATACACAGTCTCTATAAAGTGGGGGTTCTTAATTAAATAAGAAGAGTACTTTCCCTCAGTATCACTGAACCCAAGACCTTTCATGGGTTGTTATGGTATAGTTTTTTTTTTGTTCGGATTTTTTTTTGTTTTTTTGAAGTCCTGAATAATAAGAATCGGCGCATGCATCAAATGAACTTTTTGTTGAAAATTTTGTCTGGATACACCCCCCTCTCCTTTTCCCCCAGAGTTTTTCCATTATGAACTGAGACGTCGTGTATATCTCAAGTTTTAACTAAGTTACTAAAAATTTTCGTTCGTTGACCGTCGTTTTCGACCATACCTCGCAGTGCAAAATAAAAAAAGTTGTACCTTCAAACTTGTAAATTAAGTCGGAAATCACAAACAAATTTTAGCAAGGTAAATTACATTTGGATGATCGAGGGTACGCTCAATAAGGCTAAAAGCTATAACCGTAATAAGAGACAGCTAGAGAATTGTTTCCATATCCGTGAAGAAAGTTGCTAGAATAGCAGGCGAGTAAATTCTTACTTTCGAGGTCCAGAAGAAGGCAATGCCAGAAATGAGAACTTTTATAGGTAATAATTACTGGCATCAGGAACTTTTATGGTCAGTTAGATTTCCTTTCTATTCCTTGAAGTGCACGGTAAATTTGAAAGAATTTCTATTTATAGATCAGTTTAAATGGAAGCAGCTTATGTTGGTATAGGAATTTTTTAAATGTTTAGTGTTTTGTAATATTATTTATTTTATTTATTTATGAACAAAAAAAAAAAATTCAACTCAACAGCTAAATATGTTAGTAGTCATGATGTAGAGATGGTTGACCGTTGTTATAATATGAGAAGGAGTTAGTTGAGGGTGCGGTAAAATAAATAAAAAAATTAAAATATATAAATTATTTTAATTTTTGTCGACGTTTCGACCCACTTTGCAGGTCGTCTTCAGGGCTACAAAAGATACAAACATGTTGAAAAAATAAAAATAAAATAAAAAATAAATATAAGTATATATAAAATACGAAGAAGTTGTCAGATACAGAAATAAAAGATAAAGAAAATAAATACATGATAAGAAAATAGATAAAAGAAAATGAATACATGAATGTTGACGAATAAATATGTTAACGAATATGTTAGTAGTCGTTTCGATTTATTGATCGGGCGCTGATGACCGCGTTGTTTTGGGTCTGTAACAACCACTGATAGTTCATACAAATTTTATAGATAACTAATCAGTGTTTGAGCTCATTTTTTAATAACACTCAATGGATCTCTCTTAATTAATTAAAACGGTTGATAAATTGCTTTTTACGTTTCATCTTCGGGATCCCAAGGGACGCTTCTGTTTCCCGTTTTTATGCAGAGTTGAAGTGGCTTTATCCTTCCTACCGTCGTAAGTATTTTCAAGTCATCCAATCCCACCGCTCTTCATACATCTGCTAGCTCCTTCAATTCAAATCCTCTGTTCGTTCCCGCAATACTCGTTCCCAGTCTTCAGATCTACAGATCTACAGGCCCACCGAACCGCTGCTTTCGACAGACCGTTCGTTATCCGATCCTCATCCCTATGGAACTCCATCCCTCCCAACAT